TTTTCTTTCTTGCACCTTTTATTCTCTTTTTCTTCTTTGTTTGTATTATCTTTTATTATTGTAGTTAAAACTTTTAATAAAAATATTATTTTAAAAAAGAAAGTGATCTAATAGTGGCAAAAATTAGTTTATACACCAATTCCTCTTTCCAGAGAAAGTGAATAACTGTTAGATACTTTAAAAATAAAAGTCTGTTTTTTTTGTTTTTGTTTTGCTTTTTGTTATACATTTTAATTTTTTACCATTATTACTTTTTGTTACAATTCACTAGTGCCAAGGAGATAAGTTCTGCATTTTTTTTTTACCAATTTTTATTCAGTTTGAAAATGAAAAAAATGACATCCTTAAATAAATATATATGTATCATTTCCCCCTCCCCCCCCACATCTTTTAATTACACATGGTTTAGCCCAATCTTTGGTTTGTTATTTTGCTGATTGGTCCATTTATTTATTTATTTATTTATTTATTTATTTATTTATTTATTTATTTATTTTACAGATAACACAGCCAGAATCCTTACCACAAGAAGTCGGTTCTATCATTCTGAACAATTTCTTTTTCCCTTGCCAATACTAATTGTGGACAATGGAATCCCTCCTCTCACCAGCACCAGCACCTTAACGGTCACTGTGTGTGATTGTAATGAAGAAGTTAGCCTTCTGTCATGTAGATATGGAGCATTCCTGATTTCAATGGGGATTAGCGTACAAGCTTTAGTTGCTATTGTGGCTTGCCTACTCATAATATTAGGTAAGTTCTTTTTTTCTTCTATTTTATGTAAAATACATCTTTGCTAACTTTTCATTGAGTAGACTATGCTGCTTATCTTGGTAGATGACATTATGTCATCTTCTTCTTTTTCATTTGCTTGCTTGCCAGTATTTGTATCAAGAACATGGTAAGAGGAATGAAGAATCTGATCTCTTCTGCCCCCTTTTTTTTAACCAGCCTTCAGTCCCCCCCAACAAAACTCCTGTGGAGAATTACCAGGGTGGTGTGGGCTATGGCATTGGAAGGAAGGGAGAAGGGAACATTGTAGAAAACTGGTGTAGATACCTTTCACCCGAAATACTCCACAATGACCATGGCCTGATTTTCTGAATACCACCACTTCCCTCATCCCTCCCCCAAGCATAGTTCGTAATGTTCACCAATGTGCACAGTTCATTGAAGCTTATTTTCAGTGGACACTGGGGGCTGGGGAGGAGAAAAAAGAATTGAAAAGTCAACTTTCACCTGCTCTATTCTATGGAAGGATATCTAGCTCAACATAATATATCAATTATATTTAGGCATTTTCATCAGTCACATTATTTCATCTAAACATCTGTTTGCACATGACTTAGATTATCAGTTGAACCCTTAAAATGTGGCCTTATTCCATCATAGCCATAATTTAACTAACCACATAGTTGGCCAGGATTTGCATGTGTGTGCTTTGTGGAATTGTTAAATACTTCTTAATCTTTCTTCTTTTTCATTTGCTTGCTTGCCAGTATTTGTTCTAGCAGTTGTGGCTTTGAAGCATCAAACAAAGCCAGCACCATTTCATGAGAAAGGAGAAATATTTAGAGAGAATATTTTTAAGTATGATGATGAAGGAGGTGGAGAACAGGACACTGAGGCTTTTGATATTTCTGCCCTGAGACCACAAACTATTCTGCGAAAACACAAGCCACGAAGAAATATTACAACAGAGATCCAGAGTCTTTACAGGCAATCTCTTCAAGTTGGCCCTGAAAGTGCAATATTCCGGGAATTCATTAATCAAAAGCTAGAAGAAGCCAACTGTGATCCAGATGTTCCTCCTTATGATTCCCTCCAGATTTTTGCTTTTGAAGGAACAGGTTCATTGGCTGGGTCCCTTAGTTCATTGGGATCAAACTCAGTGGGATCTCTTATGGATGACAATTATGATTACCTTGTTGAACTAAGGCCTCACTTCAAAAGTACAGGAAGCATGAATAGCCATAGCTCAGCAGAAATGGTGAAGTGTTAAGAACTGCTTATACATAAAAAGTGAGAAAAAAATTGGAAAGATGATTAGGATAATCTGAAAAATCAGAACACGGAGAAATTGATGGCTCTGCCAAGCACTGTTAAACTCAGCACAAATCTTATTGTTTCAACTGTACTGAAGGCACATCCTTTTCTAATACACCATGTCACAACTAAAAAATTTAGATCAGCACATGGGAATAAGAGATCAGCCACATCTACTCTTGAAAAAAATAACAAATTTTGCTTTTTCCTCTAAAAGTCTAGTCTCAGATTCTCTTCCATGCCTTAGCAGGCATAGGGATATTTTATTTTGTAAAGATCTTCTTACTAAAATATTGATCTCAGAACCTGAGCAGAAACTATATTTTTTTTAAGAAACAGTTTTCAACAAAACAAAAACCAAATCCTCTACAGAATGGAATTTCAATTTTTGAACTATTTACAAAAATGTAGATATATTGACTACAGTTTAATTACCATAATAAACTAATATATATATATATATATATACACACACACACACACACACACACACACACACTTTGTTTT